ATGAAAATGGACCTATTAATATTTAATTTTGATTATCTAAGGGTAATTTCTTTTAGTCGACTTTCACCTTACCAGTTAGACATAAGAGTAATAATATTGCTTATTAATCTTTGCTCCATTGTCCATTTAGCATGGGGATGTTGTCGTACCTAATACATTTGTTGGGCTTGAGTTGTGGTCAACCCTTTACAAAAGAATTTTCTGGATATCTATTAATTTTTTTTTAAGTTTTTAGTAAGTTTCATTCGTAAGAACCTTCTCCTGATCTAACGAAAAAAACATCAACATATAATTATTATCTAATTCTGTCCCAAATGTTCCCGATATTTGTGGACTCGTTGTTGTTATATTGAAACAGAAGAACCCCCAGTGCATAGTAGGGAATTATTATAAGAGGATTTTTTCCAAAAATCTAACAATAGGTTTACCCATGTCAAGTACTTACTCTAACGAGCTAAATGTCTTCACTACATAAGAGGGTTTACCATAATCGCCACATTTTGGAGGCGGGTTGAAGGTCATAGCTTATAAGGTATATCAGAGAGCACTGCTACCCTTTAGTTACTTAGTACGCTCTTACAAAACCTAAAGGAAGGCCTTGTGACCAATACGTATGTCCTATTCTATTGTCTTTACTTGGAAAAGTACGTACATAAGTACATACCTACTTAATGTTGTAGTGAATTTAGTTATTCCACCATAACTCTACATAGTGGCATGACTGCGACATAAGCAAAGAGTGGCAGGTAGCCAGCGACCCACATATTGCGCGCGCGCACCGATCGAACGCTTTATCGAATGTTGATAAAACTTTAACGGCCGCAGCCCTAGCGGATAAGCCTGCACCGTGAAATCGACGCCTGCGCACCTAATTACTATACGCGATATTTGTGTCAAGTGTGATTGCGTTCTTTATAGGTTTTCTGTATTTTCCGAGGCTCTTGTTAGGCTGTGACGTCATGCTGAATTATCCATCCATCCATCCATCATATCGCAGGAATCTTTGTAAAAACTAAACCGTCTTCTTTCTTTGGATAATTTGATGATATATGTTTTTAGATTACAGTTAAGTTCGACCTTCTAATCAAAGACACACGAACCAAGTTTCGTCGTGGATATACAGATATACTGCCGTCTGTTTCTGTTGTATTTACATTTTATGCACTGTTTTGACTGTTCCCTTCAAAGATAGTTTTGCCTCTAACTTGTCTCTTGTATTTGTCCTTTCTAGCACCATTACAGTGACGCATCTTAGGCAAACAAAGTGATGTGTAAGAATTCAACCTAATATTGCGTCATTGGACCTCCTTGAAATATTTGAACAGCTTAAATACTTACCTTCTCATATACGGAGCCGAGACGTGGACTCCGACGGTACGACTGGTCCATGAGAAGCATAAGTCCTAATTGTCGACCAGCACATGATGATTACGGCACTTAATGCCACTGTACAATGTAACACCCACTTTTTATTAATTATGTTATGAGTTGCACGTAATAGGGAGCCTATTGCCATATACCGGGCACATTTCCAGACTCCGTGCTACTACTGAGATTTTTTAAAACCCAGTAATACTTACAGCCCGACCCGGGAATCGAACCCGAGACCCCCTTGCCCGGCAATCGCGCTTGTGACCACTCGGCCAACGAGGTAGTCTTATATTTATAACACTTCTATTATTATATACTTTATGATTGTAATGTCCAGATACTTAAACGCCACTTAATTTTAACCTATAGTTTGTCTAAACGCGGATCCACGCGACCTGGAGAGACAATTTATTTTGTATTGTGTCTCATATACCGGCATTACAAATTCTTTCTAAAATCACATAAATAAATAATAATAAATCTTTATTAATTATAAGAAACTGGTCATAGTACAGATCAACATCGTAATTTAAAATCAGAGATCTCACTAGATTTGAATGCTTGTACTGCACTAGTTAGAATATCCTGTATCACAGGCGAAAAGAGCACTCACAATATTACTAATTTTAGGACAAGTTATTTATATAAACAAATTCCTTAACATAAGTCGATCAAAAGTACCTAAAGTTGATTATTTAATATACAATATTTAAATTTAACTTAAAATTGAGTAACCTTTCAGTAGTATTCGGGTGGAAGTTCAGTTTCCCAAGATCACGTATTCGATTACCGGATCGAGCAAAAATGTTTATAATAGATTAAGTTGTTAGTTTTCATAATAAGTGCCTATACCAAGTATATTTATTAAAATCTAGCTTACCCAGCAAACTTCGTACCGCCTAAAAATTAAACCTTTTAAACCTTCTTTGGACTTCCACGAAAATTTCAATACCAAAATTTACCAAACCGGTGCAGCCGTTCTAGAGTTTCATTGAGACTAACGAACGAAAATTCATTTTTATTTATATAGTAAATGTAAAGTAACTATTAGTACATCCCCATGGCAATTAAGTGGTTAAGTTAAATAAGTAATAGGTACAGACGCCTGTACTATTAATGCAAGCATGTTGTAATCTGGTACAATGTAGGAATCAGCTTCAGGTCAGGCGTTTGCATCGACCATTATTGAAGTGTTTTGCTTTGTGTTATGCGTAGGTACTTACAGATTACGTTTCATGGAAATATTAGGTATCTAATTTCGTTAAAATATTACAAAACAAAAAATGCCTTTTTTATAGCATAAGCCGGTAAACGAGCAGACGGATCACCTGATGGTCAGCAATCGGGGCCGCCCATGGACACCCGAAACACGAAGGCGTTACAAGTGCGTTACCGGCCTTTTGGGAATTGGGAATTTGAGGATTGTGGAGGATTCGGGGATTCAGGAGACTAGGGATGGGGGTAATTGGTAACCACACTCCCACGACGAAAGGTATAAAAGTCCCTAAAATTAAAAATGAAATAAAGAAAAAAAACATTTATATATCAGTAGCTTCTTCAGCGCAATGTCAACCGCACTGCTCGTCTCTTATTGATTGTAGCGTGATGTTTTATAGCCTACAGTCTTCCTCAATAAGTGGACTATTCAGCACAAAAAGAATCATTCAAATCGGACCAGTTATTCTCGAGATTAGTGCTTTAAGTAAACAAACCGTTCAATTTCATATATATAGTAGGTTAAGTTGTGTAGGATTGTTAAATATCAAATTAATCAGTGTTGTGATTAATAATGGAGCCACGAGTCGTGACATGAGCCACCGGATGAACGGAAGCGTGTCATTGTTATATGAATGTGTGTAACTTTAATTATATGTCGCATTTATATGTTAACACTGTAAGTATATTTTATACAAGCTTTAGTTTTTATAGTACCAGTAGCTTCTCCCTCGTTAGTGTATATGTTATTCTAGACTTTAGGTAGGGTATTCTTTGACAGTGAAGTTTTAACTTTCGAAGGGAGTTCGATCGCATTCTCGCCGGGCATTAGTCGAGATTATTTATTTATTTATTCATTATTTTTTAGATTATTTTAACAACCAATAATATGGCGGATGGTGATCGAGTTCACTTCTATGTTTTAAATTGAAAGTTATAGCATATTGTAAACTATTATCTGTGTACCCAAACTTTATTCAAAATCGTTCATTCGTTTCGAGTTACAAATAAACACATACATGTATCCATACATCCTCCATGCGCATTAATAACATTAGTAGGAAGTAGGATAATTAGGTCTGTATAGGCATAGTATCGATATTTAGATACCTACGCATTATCCGTGTAGGAAAAATGTTAAATAGTTTCCTAATTCTATAAATAATATTGTATAATTATTTACCTCTATTACATAATATTAAGTATACTATTAACTGCTGACGAAAGCAGGTATTGAGATGTTGTTTCCCAAAATATATACAAGATATCGTGTTCATTGTACCTAAGTAATTATATCATTAGAACATCAGGGATGTACAGGCCACAGGGCGTAAACGGGACGCTCCTAAGATTCGAACTCATGTAGTGACAACAAAATTAATTACATTTCCAAAAAAGTAAGGAATTACTTATATGTTTTTTTTTTGTGAAAATAGTTGTTATCAACTGCTAAAAATGTAAAATTTTTGTCTAAAATAAATCAAACGTAAATCAATCGTAAATTAAACTCGTACTAAGGCCTTCGTTTACACTCTGTATACCTAACTAACTAGTTTAAACATCATTCATGTGAAAAAATATAATGTGTGATATTCAACGAACTAGGCTGAATATGATATGTCAGTGTGTAGACTGTCAACTTTTTTTATGCAATTTTTATTATAATAGAACTGTAACCCAACACTTGTCGCGCAGTGGCTGACTTAACATTGTTTGCAAGTTCTGCTTCCAAGTTTAAAGAAATAAGGAATATGATGTCTTTTTTTTCATTGGTAAATTATTATTGTTTATTGTTCTTGATTTGATGAAAATTTTAGGTACTTATACCCAATATGGTTACTTAGCAAAATAAAAAAAACAATAAGCAGTTGATTCATGTCTTTGGCAAGCATTGATTTCACATATCGAAGGTGTTCTTCAGGGCTTTTGACTGAAAAAAAAAGAAAAAAAAATGTATAGTCAGAACTAACTAACTTATATGCTCAGATATGGAAACTAAAAATAGTCGTACTTTTGTGCATTTTGTGCAACTAGGGTAAAAAGTAAATGTGTCAGAAAAGGTGAATCCGTTTAAAATATTTTAATTAAAATCCGACTATAGGAAAAAATTAAGTAGTAGTTACCAAAGTACATCATTATTGCAAAACATCAAACGCTGAAAGTAATTGGCCCTTAGCGTACTGTAGCTAGAATATCTGTGATTTAGCAATTCTCAGTAACCACCTAACTAAGTAGATACCTGGGTACTTGTACTCACTGCAGGAAAACATCAAGTGACGCATCCGCTACCGTCATGTTTTTATAGAAATATTTGTATTCTGTGTTTATTTATACATCTTTCTGCCTACTTGGAACTATATTAAGAGTGTTATCTGACAGATAAGAATGTTAAACAATGCATCCACTGTTCCAACGCCTAGGCAACAGATAAACTACTGGACTAGTGATGCGTGTACTGCGTTAAACGTTTAGTTTTGCAGACAGTTTTTGACTTTCACCGTTTCCATTGTACAAGTTGCAGCTACTGTTTAAGGTAGTTAATTTAATAAAGTGTCAGTTGTAGCGGGGTGGTTGTTAACAATGGATCTCCTCGATCGGTTAATGTTAACTGAAGTATTATCCTATAAAGGTCAGGCCGGAGCGCGGCCGGCGCAGTGACCACCGCGCGGCCGCCAGCGCGCAGCGCGCACGTTATCAATCCTACACGGCTACACGCTACACCTCTCTACACAAAAATCTCGAACGGGAATACCGGATACCAACGCAGTGCTAAGAAAATATAACTGTCTCTTTCCAATACATCGTAAAAGGGCCGCGTTTTTGTATTCCGTCCTTGTCCACAACCGCGGCGCGATATCGCGCTATGCTTATAGTTAGAAATATGTAACTGAATAGTTTACTTTTGTGTGTAGTTTTGCCAAGTTGATGTCGTTCGGAATTAGAATAGCTGCATGTTCGCCGCTACTCCGCTGCTAATGTGTCAAGTGTATTGAAAATTAATATTTACGTGGAGTGCAGTGTTCCGAGTTCGAGGGAATATTTTATTGTGCAAGTGAGAGATGCGCTCGGGTGTGCGATGGCGCGGAAACGGCACATATTTTAGATTCCAATAATGAACGAAAGTTTGTGATTTTACTGCAGATTATGTGCTGTGTGTATAAATAACAGTGATTTTTTATTGTGAAAATGTTCAACGGGAGATTTTCTCTATTTAACGTGAGTCACAATTATTTAATTTGGAAATTAATTAGAAAATGTATTGTTTTTTAATATTTTGTTTGCTTATTATTTAACATCATTCTAGCGGATGTTAGAGGTATATTTATTATTACAGAGATTGAGTTTATTGCGATAAAGCTAATATAAATAAATGTTATCAAATATGTTTCCTTGTGGCAGACAAACAAAGAGCTGGCAGGGAGCCAGGCTTACAATCATATAATTTTATCATTCAGTATTTACGTTACGAATTGTCGATTACTTATTTAGGCTGCAATAATCGAAACAATAATTCATTCGTAATCAATTTACCGATTACTGACATGCCCTTTGTTTTTTAACTTATTTTGTTATTTTTTCTTGGTCGCAGGCAATAAATCAATTGTCAGTTCGTCACACTCCTATACATGCGGGTAGGTCTGTCTCTGTAGTTGGTGAACGCGATAATTTTGACAGTTGAAAAATTATGATCTGTCCTTCCGATTACAAACTTTTAACTATAGTAGTAAATAATTATAGTTATATGAATGTTAAGGAAAATTATAAAGTAATATTAATTATTGAAGTCCTTTCTCGATGATGGATGTTTTATTTCCTGGAAGGAATTAATTGGTTATCTATTTTTCTACGTATTTGTTTTTTTGGTATCTTATTGCAAGTTTGACTCATCCTTCATTACAGTATAGTTTGAAAAAACAATACCTGGAACTTGGTCGGTTTATAGGCAACACATTTATATTTCCTCAAAACTTAATTCAATTTATGATTTTAATTAACTGTTTTTAGTTTTTACTAAAGCTTTCGACACGATAGATGATTAATTCACTATGAAACTTATAAAATCACATTGCGTACTTGGTTATAGTAATTTAATGACAAATTACAGGCAAAAAAACACATTGAAAGACTACTTAATTGCGCTTTTATAGTCAATATTAATGTGGAGTACCTCAAGGAGCTCGTTTAGGTCCATATCATTTTACTTTCTTTTTTACAACTTCTAAATTAATTGCCGGTTTTTATACCTTAAGCTTATGTTGCCTAAGTACTAATGTATATAAATAATAAAGTTACGGTTCTCCTGCTCGAAACTGCAGTTTACAGACTTTGTTGTTATCTGTACATGATACGTATGGTGTGGGAGCTTGTTATTGCTTGCTGCCAATCCACGTGCATATCGGGTGGCGCATACATCGCTATATTATTATGCGATCATACAATGTAATAGCTGTCAGTAAAACAAAAAGTATTAATATTGGCAGCTAAACTCATACGATATTGATATGTTATATGGGTCAGTTGACAGCCAAGGCAGCCAGTCTCTCATTCATACAATATCGAAAATTAACGAGAAATGTACAAAAAGGTCTGGTATAAGAATGGATAGAAAAGAGTTCAGTACAGAGACACAAAATATTCACATTCCACTATGAGTGTAACATAAAGCACTGTACTAAGATACCGTTTACAAAGGCAACAATAGAACAAGTTGGTGTGGGACTCTGATAAAAGGGCGATGTTAAACAAATAAAGCATTTATTTCGTTTTGTTAAACTATTCGATTTTTTATACAGCAAAAAAAGAGACAGCGAGTCTATTTGGGTATTTCACCTTGTCGTCTTGACTTATAATAAGCTATCTTAATGAAAATTCAGCTGGAATGCATATCGGCGGTTAGCAATTTAGTTTTGGATTAGGACCGATTAATCTTACTATCAGGTGATCCGTCTACTCGTTTACCGTTTGTTTTATAAAAAAACACATTTTAGTTTTAGGTATGTATTTCTTAAAATTTACCCTTCATTTAACTCGTCGAGTACCGTCATTATAGACACAAAAAAAGAACAATAGGTTGCGGTCACCGGTGACCGCTCGAAGTTTGACAGTTTAATTAATAATTGATTTTACTTATACATTTTACATACTACACTTTAACCTATACAGGCTTTATTACTAAAGTGTCATCATTGAGATTTGATATTTGCTAATAGATATGACTGTTTTTATGGTTTCACTCCTTGGCTCTGCTCCATTGAAGCAAAATGTAAGCTCTGTTGGTGTTTCTGCAAAAATTGACTAGCAAATACAGAAGTCATCATTCAAATCATCATAAAATCGGTCTTGAACTTTTCTATAGACAAGGATGTTAAGAAAAGTAACTATATCTATCTTGTCTGTTGTAGAGGTAGAATAGTTGAACATCTTGCAAGTGTAAAGATTTTAAATTATGTTTAAAAATACCTGACATCTTCTTGTGTTATTAAAATATGTGCTCTCAGTACTTATATCAATATTGACGTAACTCCTTTTATCTTTATCTCCATTCTTTGTGTTGCGTCCGTCTGTGTCTATCTACAATGCGTTCTCGATTCATTATACAAGTCAGAGATATCAGAATATATATATAAGTTGGGTACAGGTGAATTTGCTACTTATATGAAAGCATTTTCGATTTTATCTTGATTGAGGATAAGGTTCGAAATGTATTGTAAGGCCAAATGGAGGTTCATTCATAAGTGTCGGATAGATTGAAGCGAGGCATTCCATTCTCAAGGCTCACCTTAGGCTACTATAGGTTACCTATGTGTGAATCTAGACATAGGTACATCTATAGGAAGTTTCTAAGATATCCACAGCGGTGAGTTTCGGAGTGAAAGTAAACGTTATTTTTGCAAACAACCAATTTCTTTTTTGAAAATATTTCTGGTAAAACATTTTTGGTTTCCTGTTGCTAGAAAGTTCAACGTTTCTCTGCTAGACATTTGACTTTTAAAATATGAAAGGGGTTATTCCCAGTAAGATCACCAAAGTCCTAAGTAAATCTGCTCAACTTAGATGTCATTGTTTGAATATAGACTTGGACAATGAGCTAAATTGTTATTGCACAACTGATGAAGCCGAAATGATACAAGCACCCATTGAAAGACCACTAACAAAATCTTCAGCAGGTATTATGAAAATAGATTAGGCAGCTCACAATAATGAATAGGTTCACTTCCAAATCAATCCAAAACCAAGTATCAATATTAATCGCCACTTCATAAGCCAGACACACTTTAAATTTACTTACCAGACCAAAATGAACAGAATGACTCACACCAAATGGCCATCTAATAAGAAATATCCAGTTACTCATCACATCATGATCTTCATTCGTCTCGTTCGCCTCGTCACATGGGACGGACAAGGCCGGCAGTACGACATCCGTCGACTAACTGGCGTCCTCCGGTGTATCTTAGCCTAATAAGATAATGTGCCTGCACTTTAACTAGACCTCAGAACTGAGTTTTTGTGGTTTGAATGTCGTAATAAATTAGGAGTTATAGTGTTATGCAAGTTACAGAACTAAGGGTTAAGATTTTGAAATAATTTTTTTGGAATCGAGTAGTGTTTGACTAAAATACGATAGATAGACGAACTGGAAAGCTCTCTAGTCAAGTATCTTGACCTGTCTATAAACGTGTATGTGTCTGTGCTATTTGTGACACTGAATTAAGTCCTGCGCTTCAGCGATTTCTACTGATTGGATGACAAAAAGGCAAAAGGCAAAGGCATCCAGTTAAAATTTCCTTTATATTATATAGGATAGGCAAAGGTGCACGTAGAAGTAACACTCACTTTTCACTATTTATGTTACAGTCCCATGTAATAGGGGGTGAGCCTATTGCCATATACCGGGCACATTTCCAGACATCGTGCTAGTACTGAGATTTTTTTTAAAACCCAGTGATACTTTGCGCGACCCGGGAATCGATCCCAGTGATATGTTGCGACTACTCGGCCAACGAGGCAGCCTACCCCTTCAGGGTTAAAAGGCGTGATGTTATGTTATATAGGGTGCTATTTATAGATAAGCATTACAAAATGTTATATAGCCAAAATATCAAAGTTACAATATTAGGCTACAAGCAACGTGTCGTGGGCTCGGTTCCCGTAAGGAATAAATATTTGTTCGACCTCATTGTCGTATGTTTGACCTACGTACGACCTACGTTTGGCGTATTTATGTCTGGTTTGTTTTATAATGGCCTTTGGTTGGCCAGTGTGTAAAACATCTGTATTCTTTGCAAAAAATATTCTAAATTTATAGCTTGCGAAGAGATCTAGATCAAAGCTTACACCGTCTGCGTTTAAATAAAACAACACAAAATTCTATTTATAATCTGGAAAAATATACATAAAACTGCAACTCCTTTCTCCCACATAGAATGTGAATTGTGATATGGTGTAAGAAAACTAATGACATTAATGCAAATCTAACTTTAAATTAAATCAACTAAGCAAGTATGCTTTATTAAGTTATTCAAAATCAAAGTGTTTTTCAACCATGACCTTTTTTAACCGTCAAGTAAATGGACATATCTTCAATTTACCGTACTATTTGTACTCATAATTGTGCGTAAATATACCTAAATAACTCACTTACATCTGAGTGATTGTTAATACAAATATGCAAAGTCATTTTATTAGCTTTATCATAACTTATTGTGTTGAAATAAGGTCATTTCAATATTTGTCTTGTAGAAAATTTATCTATACCACGAAGGCTGGTATTGTGCCCTGTATATGGCGGTAGGTTCACCATCCATTATTATCGTTAGACTCACATAACTGATGCAAAATGGGCGATACATCCTATGTACCTTTTACAATAGTGTAGCTCGGTAGAAAATATGAATAATTGCAAACACTAGCCAAGTATAAGTCCTATTATCTGATCAAAATCTTTTCTATTTCAATCCCATTCAAAATAAACTGTTTAAAAAACTGTTAAAACTCTATCCAAATACACAGTGGTTACTAATGCATCATTGGTTGTGTTTCACAATATTTTATTCATGTTTGAACGCAATTTGATTCGTCTGTTATTCCCCGTATAAAAATCTCGTAATGGGAAACCCAAAACGTTGTTTGTAGGTAGGTTCTATTCGTTTATGACATACTTACCTGCTTAGATTAATCTTATTGAAGATATCCTTGATAGTCAATAGGGGAAA